AGGAGTGAAAAAGTGGGGGATGTTGCGAGGGTTGTGAGCGGAGCGGGGAGAAGGACGCGGAGAAGCCGAAGAACTCGAGGAGAAGGAGAGATAGGCGGGTTGAACGGACGACGGAGGATCGAGGCGTCCTCGATCGCGGGATCTTGGAGCAAAACTAACGATCTGCCGCTTGCTTGCAAGATCAACACGACGATAATTTAATACACGAGATCACCACCCAGGTGTGCTCTGACGTATACAGATGCTGTTTGTAACCTCGACTGGGAGAAGGAAAAGGCTGAGTCGACAGAAGCGGGAATCCGTATACGATTCCAAATGCGAATACGAGCTCTTCCCCTTCTTCTCTTTCCCCTCGCACTCACTCTTCCCTTCACCACCGCCATCACCACCTCCACCCCCACCCCCCACCTTTGCCATAACCACCTCCACTTCCTTCTCGTCTTCCTTCTTTTTTTCTCTTCTTTCTTACCAATACGTACCAAATAACGTATGTCAACTTGGGTAACGCGTTGTTCTTGTTGTTGTTGTATACCTACACTTTTCAGCAAAAAATCTTGAAAGTCTCTAGACAATTGTTTTCTCCAACGTGAACGTGGATTCGGTAGCGGGTGTTCGAATATATATTTATTTCGATCTATCTAATATGTATTTCGTTTTCCAATCGTTCTATCAAATTTAAAGGCGGATGTGTTTAATAGCTACCAAAGTTGGTGATGGGAGGTGAGAGAAAGGGGATCGAAAGGTAAGAGAAGATGATGGGGTAGGGGTGGTAGAGGTGGAGGAGGAGGAGGAAGAAGAGCGTGGAGCACAAAAAACTGGTGCGTTCCTTTGGTGTCGTAGGTTTTCGTAGAAACAACTCGATACATACTTGAATCGCGTTAATCATCAGGATGAAAAAACAGAAACACGCGTACCTCGCGGTTCGTCGATTCTGGAAGAGAGGCTGCATAAATAGAAGGCCAATGACGTCAATCGTTCGCGTTAATTACATAAGGAGAGTCCTATTAACCTATGCTGACGGCGACTGACGATTAAACGTTAAACGATTCCGATAAAATCTGCGAGTCCACTTATCGAACGAAACAAGTCTCACCGCGCGCTGCTCACATTTCATAAATCTTCCTCTCTTATACGGATTCTTATTTAACTGTCAATCTCGTTAATGTTGTACTCCTCTCCCACTTGTACATTTTACAGAGATATAAACTGCTACTCACGAATCGAACATCGGTTCGTTTAATTTGACCGCGTATTTTACCTATACGTCGATTTATCCTCGTATATGATGCGTTTATGTTTGTTACCATGTGCATTGCACACGAGCATAGAACGCGAGAGTGGACTGGCACAGTTGGACAAGAGTAAGCTTAACAACTATTGACCTTGAACCATTTATAGCAATAGAATTTGACGAAGAAAGAGGCGAATTAAACGACAAGCGTCATCGCGCACCAACCAAATCGGTAAGATGATAAATTCTCATTAAGAAACGTGCATCGTCTCGTTACGGGCTGTACGCGACACGCGCGTTACGTTCGTTCGATTAAAATATTACATGGGACGTTCGAATGATTCAACCTATCGAAACCGTTGTTGTTGTTACTGTCCCTTGGCCTCGAATTGGTGATATCCGATGAAGAAACGTTGGCAAGAGACAGCGTATGTTTCGCGCCGAAAGACAGACTCTGGATGGAGATTTGCGAAATTCGTGCAATAGATAATGTTTCTCGTAACTGGCTCATGGCAAGTCATGGCAAGACACGTCATGTCATGTCATGTCATGGCATGGCATGGCATGGCATGGCATGGCATGGCAAGGCAAGGCAAGGCAAGGCAAGGCAAGCACAGCTGCGTCCGCATGTAACTTCGTATGCAATGCACGTAGTCGACGCGCGGGTATTTGCGAAGGAATGTTCAACAGGTGTGTCGCTCAGATTGAGCTTCATACGCGCGTACACGCCTTTCCTTTCGCCCTTCCTTCTTCTTTCTTTCTCGTATCCCCATTTTTCTATGGTAGTACCGTAGCGAATGTTCAAAGGGACCGATTACGGGTTAAAGAAGTATCGCAACGGTTAATAATCACCGAGTACAGAAGAGTAAAAGAGATATCCTAATGTTCTAGGAGTTACTTTCGATATGGTACGATACGATGCGATTCGATTCATTGTTGGAGGATGAAATGAAAAAAACGAACACGTCGAGTGATAATATCACTTTGATTGCTCGCAATGTCTCAGTTTCATACGATAGGGAGAGCACAGGATGATTTTAATAGCGACGTTGATATCGTCGAATGCCACAATACACGGCCGCACATTAGCCGAAACCGAAATCGAACGTCAAACAGGCTGGCGAGAAAGTAAGTAGGTACATACGTAGGAATACGTGCGCACACTGGTCGACAGAGAAGTTACTGTTTCTCCAGACCTTGCGAGCGTTAGTGCTGTTGCGTCTTTTTCTCAGTATGCCTGGAATGGTTCTCCAACTCGGGCCGGCTAAGAGGAAGCTGCGAGGGGAGAATCGTACGATTTATTTACGCGATCCGGCTGGTGGTCAGACTCTGCCGGTTATACTCGAGAAGTGCAAAAGTACACACAGGGGCTAGCGCGCGCGCTCATATCTATACACATAAGTATACGTACTATACATAGCTACGTAAGAATGCGTGCGTGCGTGTGTGTACATATGTATCTACGCGTAGGTATAATATGTGTGTTTGTACACACACACGCACACGCACACACACGCACACACACACACGCACACACATGTATGTATATATGTATACTACATATCTCGCATATGTAGGACAAAGCCTGCTCTGTGATGGTCGTTTCTACTGCCGTTCTGCTGGTTACATACTCTCTAGTTGTACTTCATCCATCTTGGCGTTTAAATGTTGTTGGACGATCCGACGTTCGTCGTGCACCACCGATCGGTGGCAAACAAGCCGAACTGGTCGATTTTCTTATTGGGTCATTGTTGCTGACGACGAAGGGATAACGACGGTGAGGACGATGTTAACGTTTTACCTGTTATTATCGTCCGACTATCGTGCGACGGTGGGTTCTCTAACAGGCTCGACGAGCACAGACATAGCGGTAACACGGAGCGAGCAACTGTTTTCTATCGGAAATGTAAAAGAAGGAAAGCGGTGGTGAAAGCAAGAAACGTAAATGCAGATGAACGCAGAACTGTGAAGGAACAGGGCTGAACGCGTGCAACGGTACCGAAGTATGTAACGATAAGTTGATCACGCGAATACATGGGAATACACGCGTAGGATATACAGGAGGAGTAATGGCAGAAGTAAGAAGAATTGGAACATGAGGAAAAGTAGAAATAAATGCAGAAGGAAGAACAAGGCAAGAGTGATGTAGTCACTGCTGGCAGCAACGTCGCGCGATTGGACATTAGCGTGTCGAACACTGTGTGTAGTGGGGCAAAGCAGCGTTCCGGCAGACAGCTTGGCGTCCTATGGTTCGCATTACGACAAGCTATAGCCTTTCTCTGTCTTTCGCTTCTCCCGTTTCGCTTCACCGCATTTTGCACTGCATCGCATCGTTTCGCTGCGTTTTCTGTCAATACACCCCTCCCTCCCACCCTTTTCTTTGTTTTGTCCAATCGGCACGCACTCTTCCTCTTGGTTGGCTTTCAACGAAACGATACGTAATGGGCGTAACGACGCGATCGTCGGACCGCGATTAATGTTTGATGGCGTAGGGAATTGCGATGAAAATATTGCAACTACATATTCGAATGTTGCGAAAAATCCGTAAGTACTAACTGTACTAAGTACATTTTTTACAAGCTTTCATTTTGAATTTGAAACACGTTAACCTTGTAAATACGTCGAACACGTGTGTCCAGTACTGAGTACTTATCCACGTGTATAAGCTGTTGGAAATCGAAACGAAAATGTAAATGGAAGAATCGCTCTCCTGTTGGAGTTTGGAAAACTCGCGCCGAATACCGAAATATAATACATAACGAAATATGTACCAACAAACTAGCAAAAACCGTGTGAGCTACTATTTACTTGTACACGTTTCTATTTGGCAGAAAACAGCGCACGCTCGCTGGGCGAGTTCTTCTCCTCGAGAGGCGTGTCGTTACGAGCTACAGGTGGCTGTAGCTCATTCCTCCTACTCTTCCTATGTATCTCTTCCTCTTTCCTCTTGTCATTTCTTCAGCTTCTACTTGAACTAGTGTAACACTAATGCCATGTACAATTTCTACTTTGTATACTCGTATACCCTTTCTGCACCTTCTCATCCAACACGTGTATTGGCACTGCTATCCTTTTGTCGATAGTGCACAACGGAACAGAACACAACGCAGGAACATATTGCAAAGTGGAGGATAATGCGTTAGGCATATATCCTATTGATTACACGCGCAATCAACGATGCCCTTTCGATCGTTTCACCTGTATCTCTTGTTCCGTACATTGCCCCGTATGCATGCGCGATATATTATACATATATTCATGTAGGTATGTGCAAGAATGTAGTACCTACATATGTAGTAGGTATGGAATTTCAAACAATATTCATCCTAACTGGCTGATTTTCGAGGCGCGTTTCATTTCCTTCGCCTCTCCTCGTATCATCGATTCTAATTGTGTTGAGGCGAGAACGAGAACGAGAACGAGGGATACGTCTAACCGAAGAATATGAATCTCCCTCTCTTCCTCTGGTATATTGGTCTTTCAAGCATGAGTCAACTCATGTTTGGTCCCCGCTCGCGGCCCTGAGTAAAAGATTCTCTGAATGAACTCTAAAGATAGAGACCCCCTGTACCCTTTCGTCCTCTGTCTCTTTTCCACCTTTTCGTTTGTTCCACGCATCCTACCTCTTTCTCTCTTCCTCTCTCCGTCTTTTTCCTTTCTTTTGCTAACGCTACTCCTTAGCCGAGGCGAGGGCTTCCCTTTCCTTTTCATCGTTAATCTTCTCGGCAGCATGGTAGAATTTAATTCAGCGACGTACGACGATTACGACGACGACTACGACGACGACGACGACGACGACGACGACGACTACGACGACGGTTCGAACCAGCTTTTTAAGTCGGTTACTTGGCATAATAGGCTAGTCCGTAAGAATTCTTCGTTTCTCTTAGCGAAACGTATCATCTATCGAGAAAGATTTTTTTAAGGTAAATTTGGAAAGCCCGATAGAACGTTACAAATGAGCCGAAATCAAATAAATGCAAAAAGTGCACGTGAAATTGAATTTCAGACATACGATAGAGTGTAAGGTAACGTTGGATTCGTGTACACGATTCATTTGAATGAAAATAATAGAAAAAAGAGAGAGAGGAAAGAACATGTAACGAGACTAATAGGACGAGGATACTTGTGACGCCGCGCCGGCACTTTATTTCGTGTGGAAAGTAACCGGGAAACAAGAATACAATAGTCAAATTTCGTAACACAATTACATTGCTCTGATAAATATCCGAATTGCGTTAAAAGCAGAAAATTAATCGGTCTTTCCATTTTGTGTACCTTCTTTTTAATAAATTGCAACCAATTCACTTGAACGAATTATCAGCGAGAGTGACGTGATCAAATTGAATAGAGGTAATGATAATTCGTAAAAACATTGGGATTAATTTACTATAACGAACCTACGTCAAGAAGATGAAGTTTGAACTGTTTCTAGTGTAGGATGCAAATAATTTAGATTAAAACTTACATTTAGAACGTTCGTTTTCACCGTTTCTTCGTCACTTTTTCTCACTTGTTGCCGTCTGTTAAATAGTTTAAATCCCTTTCAACACGCTTTCTAGCCTCTGTTTAATTTCCACTTTCTTCTCTTCTCTTCTCTTCTCTTCTCTTCTCTTCTCTTCTCTTCTCTTCTCTTCTCCTCCTCTCTCTCCCCCTCCCTCCTCTCTCTCTATTGTTTCTCTACCCTGCTTCACCCTGCTCGCTACCCTGCCTTGTCTATTTCTATTTTTTGTACGATATTTCTCGTTGACATCTAGTCTAATCTGCTTTTCGCGCAAACTTTCCCTTACAAAGTAATTTTTATTATTACTACCATCGTTGTTATCATCACCATCTTTATCTTTTCCTTTCTCCCTACCCCCGCCCTAACGTCCGCCCCTTGTTCTCACTTTTTCTCTCTTCTCTTTCTCTCACCCCTCTCCCTTTGCCTTACTACCTATGCTCTTTCTCTCTCTCTCTCTCTCTCTCTCTCTCTCTCTCTCTCTCTCTCTCTCTCTCTGGTTACATTTATTTGTCCGCCTGTCTGTCTGCCTATCTGTTTGCGTATTCATCCGTCCATCTTATTCATCTATCTATCCATTCATTCATTCGTTCATTCATTCATTCGTTCGTTCGTTCGTTCCATTTATACAATATCCGACTTTCTCTCCTCATCTTCCACCTCTCTTCCTTTCGCCTTCTTTCGTACCCCTCGTCGCGATAGACATATGTATGCTACTTATTTGCACGTGTATCTATCCATTACCTGCTCGTTTAATTATACATTAATCGATTCGTTTACTTTTTCCTGCTATGAGCATATTCTCGATGATATTTTGAAGAGTGAATAGCAATTGTGTGCGATGGCCCTCGTTAACTCGTACGGGTTTGCGACGTGACTAAGTTTTCGACCGATTCAACTCTCGTGTTTTTTAAAACTCTTCCTCCCTCTACAATTTTCTTCGTTAGCATCAGCATCAGCATCATCGTCGTCGTCGTCGTCGTCACCGTCACTGTCACTGTCACCAACATCAACAACACGATCACAAGCAATACCATCGGCGTCATCACTACTAGTATCGTCACCATCATCGTCACAGGCTCCAGTCACAGTTACATTTTCATCATCACCATTTCTTACACAATCTCTGTTACTTTTCGTATATTTCATATTTTCAACGACACTTTACTGCCGAAAAATGAATTTTTAAACATACGTATTATATATGTATGTATATATAATTTTTCTACCGTCCATTGTTTCTTTCTCGATAAATAGGATGTTAGCATAGGATGTAGCGAATGATGTGGATATACATACAGTACCGCATCGTTGGTTCGATTCTTAGCAAGTTTTACGCTCTAATATCTTTTTCTCTTGTCTTGTTTTATCGTGTTCTGGTTAATCCTAGGCCTCTGTTGGATAGACACGCTAGAAGCTGAGATATTTTCCTAAGGGAAAATGCACTGCTGACGTTCCAAGAGTTGATACGCTTGTAAGTATAAGACGTGTCTCACTCTGGTTTTTCCGAAACGGCAGACGCCAAACGCCAAACGCCACAGTGGAAAAAGTATTCGTCAAGTACTAGGCTACTTTAGAAACTGTCTCGTCATGGTTCGCGTAAACTCGCGTCACGGTTGCATCAACCGACAACAGAACTGAGTTGATTGCGTCATTTTACCTTCTCTATTCAAAGCTGTACGTACCAAGTCTCTCCTCGTCTATTCCTCATTTTCGAACACGTTGCTCGTTTCGTGTCACAGCCAATGAAACATAGATTTTCCTAGAAGAATGGGTCGGCATTCTTTTCAAGATGAAAGATATCGCTGTCGTATCGACAAGGTAGAAAATGGGATAGAAATGGGATAGAAAATAACGAGCGGATAATCGGTAGAACGACGAGGCAACAAGATGGTAATTTCAAATGGAATTTTGATACTCTTGATCTGTTTTCGAGAAGAGAGACGACCGACACCCAACTCCTATTCGAACGTTTCGTTCTCGTAAATTGTTCGTATCGTTCTCTAACAAAGCGTGCGTGCGTTTTGGACATGCCTAAAGTTTATAAGTACGAATCGATGCAATATAGACCAACTCCACCGTCACGAATTTTCATTCGATATTACAGGCGGATACGGATTTTCGAGAAAACGGTCGGTCAGACGGAAGAGCATTGCATATTGCGAGTCGATCCGATCGGTTTCTCGTTCGCAAGCGTCGCGCAGTATGTATGTAGTTTGACAGGAACGTTCACTCTCGAAACTCACGTAGCGAATCGCAAAGTTGACACGGCTTCTCGTAGCGCGGTGACGGTCGTTGTCCCCCATGGTGGATCGTACGCGCTGGCAGCTTCATTTCCCTCGACGAACACCGCCGAATCGAAATGAGATCAGTCTGACTGATGCGATCGTCGATGCGTTCAGAGCTCAAGGAAATTTCATAGTCGATCAATCGACACAGCCACCGCAGAGGCTTTCCGTTCTCTGCTTTCTTCTTCTTCACAATCTGTAACCACTTGCGTCACTATCGTTGCCTTGTTCGTTCATCCGTCCGTCCGTTTGCTACCACTTTTTTCACTCTTGTACACTTTGCATAGTTTCCTAATCTTTATTTTACCTATTGGTGAATAGGTGTATTTGTTCCCTCTTGGTAGATTTTATGGTCGTTTCGATTACATAATATCGAACTTTACCGCGATCGAGAATTGTGAACGACGAGAAGTGCTGATAGGTACTTAACGTCTGTATCCGTGCCAGTCTGTGCTTACGCTCCGACTAATTTTCTCACGCGCTCGGTTTAAAACATTGGCTAGCTGTCTCCTGGTACCGTCTGAACTACGTATCACCGTAACTTGCTTGAATCGTTTACGAAATAATAGTTTGACACTTGTATCGCTGTCGGCTGCCTGTTGGCCCTTACCCCTGCTCCCGCTTCCGGTTCTCGAATTCTCACGATAAGGAAAATAGTAGAAAATGTAGATTTCGTTTTACATTCCACCTTCCATGCAATTTTTCCACTCCTTTTTCTATTCTCCTCCCTCACACCCCCTCATCACCGCCGCCGCTCCTCCTTCGCCTTTTATTTTCTTCTCTTCGCCACTTTCTTCCTCCTTCTGATACACGTACTCTTTTTATACAAGTTTTCGTGTTGCTGTTCCTCCACCTTTGAAATCGTACAACTTCTTGTGTTCAGATCATCGCGAACGAACATGTACACGGACGATTGCGAGTTTGTTCCGTTTAGTCGGGGATGAATGGCTCGTACCTTTGCTCCTCGTTACTTCAATCGAACGATCTCATGGCGTACACTCGCGACGATTGGCGTGTTGGATCCGAAAATTAAAGACGAAGTTTGCTCGCCTACTACACTAGACGGCAACAGCAAC